CCCCAAAACCCCAAAACCCCAAAACCCCAAAACCCCAAATATTCTCTAAATTATTGAATATACATGAATTTATTCTATTAATGTGATTCTTTATGATAGGATTTGGTCTCTCATTTTTCAGAGCCAATCAAAGGAGACTTTATGGAATCTTGCATCTGTTGAAGATTCTTGTTCCTCATTATAGCCTCAATCTTTCTCCTCTTCTCCTTCTTCTCCCGCTCAGTCTGTGAGATATCTAAAGGTTAGATGGAATCAGAGGTACAGTTGATCAAGCTCCGAGTTGACCATTCGTTCTTGATCTTCTTTGAAATCTCAGTGTTGATCCTTCGAAGAAAAGAACACTCTTTTGCTTTAATGAAGGAGCCAAGCATATCAATGCCCTGAGCGTGTTTTGGGACATTACTGATAATAGTTGAGTCAGAGTTTTGGATTTGTTTGTACTTATTTTTCTAAAGTGAGAGAATAGCTTACCATCAAAGCACAGAATTCTACTTTCTTTAGATGCCTAACCTTTTCAGCATTATTTAATATTCACCAGTCTAGAGGACTTGCCTAATTTGGAATTTTAAAATGATAGAAATAGCAAACCCACAGCAATTACTTCAAAAATCTTACTTCCCAATATTTTTGACTAAATAAAGTAACCCTATCCATCCTTTGCTTACCTTTCCCACTCTTTTCCGCACTACTTCAGGCCGGAATGTTCATAACTCCAAGCACTTCACTATCTTTCCTCTCTATCTGCGACAATGACTTCACCACTCTTTCCCTTCTATTCCTCCTGTACTTATACCTCTTATTCATCTTCTAAACTTCCAGTCAGATTTCCCAGTCAAAATCCCACTTACAAAAATTTTATTTCCTAATCTCTGTGTCTCAATAACTTAAATGTGACTTTATCCCAGGCACGAAGGGAGGATTGTAGCTTTTGGCAAGTGTAGATTTTTCAAAGGATTTCCCGATCCGATTTATCTAGAATGAGGCAGGAGGGATTACTAGGCTGGCGCGCCGGACTCCTTTGATGAATTTGCGCTTGCTTTGTGACATGCTTATGTGAGCGTCTGAGGATATGATCTTGGGTTTCCTACTTCTATATATAAACAATAAATCCCAACTTGACAGAGAGAAATCGATTAATCTCTATCTTCGGTCTAATCCGGCTAGTACTCCCTGCTGTCTCTGCATGGTAAGAACTATTATCTTCATAAGGATGATCAAAGGACATGGAAATAATTTATTTTTCAATTTATAATAAACTTTCAGGGGTTTTGGGGTTTTGGGGTTTTGGGGGTTTTGGGG